GCCCCGCCCGGCCAGGTAGTGCCACTCAGCCAGCCGGTCGCCCTGTCGCCTTGGCCTCGGCCGCCCGCCACCGCCACCCTCCCACCTCACCTGGACGAGGGAGCGACCGCCGCAGCGGCTCGCCGGCAGGGCGACACGCGCAGCAACTCAGGAGCTTGCTGGCCCCGATTCCCGCGCCGGCCCGGGACTGTCTTCCGCCTCCTCGCGGCTCGCTCGCCGAGAGCGCCAAAAAATAAAAATAAAAAAGTGGCGCTCGGAGCGGGGGCACCTTCTTCCTGGAGGGGCGCACTTTCGCGCTCCCGACCGCGCACCGACTGGGGGCACCCTCTTCCTGGAGGACGCACTTGCGTCGTGAACTCGAGTCTTTGTGTGACTCGGCCATTCGCGCCCGGCTCCCCCCCACCCCGCACCCCCCAGCGGGCCGGCACGGGCTTTCCTCCGGAGAGGGTGTGGCGCCTCTCCCCTTCTGGACCCCAGCCTGCCCCAGCCCGCCTCCCCCACGGTGCCTTTTGTCGTGTCATTGGGACCTGTGCCGGGGGGTGGGGGTGGGGGTGAGGTGGGGGGGACCCACTGCAAAGCACACTGCTTGGGATGCACAAAAGCAAAGCCGGAGGGAAGCGTGCTGTATTTACCCTGGTGGCGAGAGTCGGGCCGCTCCAAAGTTTCTAGAGCTTTGGCGGCGAAAGGAAGTGCCAAGGAGAAAGGCAACACAGTGCGTTGTGTAGCGCTAAGTTCTAGGTTTCTAGAAACTTCCTAGACAGGTGAGGGGAAGTAGAGAATTCCAACATGACCTCGATCGAAATCAACTCGCGAAGGGTTGCACACTCACCTGTGCCTTCCTGGATCTTCTCCCTTCAGTAAAAGCCCAGATCTTCTATTTCCCTCTAAAAACTTGAGAGAGGAAAAATGTTAATCAGAGGAAATGCTTCCCCTACTTCAAGGGAGTTTTACAGGGTAGGAGGAGCCCTGAGGTAAGATGCCAGATACTTCTGAACGGAAAACGGACAAAGCGAATGCGATTTTATACTTTGATTTAAAAATGTGCATCTGGGCATCTAAATTACAAGTTTCAGTTTAATACAAGCGTAATAAGAGCACCAGCTGTCTCTTAATTGGAGCCCCACAATAATAAACGCGTGCTTTTTTTAATTTTATGAGGACAATTGTAGATGATAACACACACATATGCAGGATCGTCAACGAGGAACTCATAGCAATTCATGGCTGCTTTCCTGCATGCAATCAACTGCTTCAGCCTAGAGCTCAGCTCTATAAGCTCTACAGAAAGTGCACAAGCATTGCGGGACATATTTAAGTGGCCGTTAGGTTGAGGAGTGGAGTGAATTCTCAGGCTAATTATACTTTTTAATTCTGCTGAACTGATCCAAATAGAATTCAACTAATTTTAGGCAAGAAATCAATCTCTGTGTGTTAAATGCAAAATAATAAGAGCAGGCCAGCAATGGTTAGGAGAAGACTGGGCACAGACTACCCTTCACATAATTGAAAAAATCCACAATGGCATTTGGCAAGAATTGTGAAAGTTGCCAGGACAATGTGTAGGGACACTGTCTGACATTTCAGAGTTATGACTAGGATCCTAGCGTAAGTCAAAATAAGAAGGACTTCCTAGTTACCTCATGAATTCCTAACCACTTCTCCCACGCCTTCTTTCATACTTGCCAAATTCCCTGAACTACTGTAAAAAGTCAGACTAGTCTGGCATATGGGAAGTGGCTTTGCCAGGGCAGGAACCACCACAGAGCACTAAAGAGGTGTTGCCTACCATGGGAGACTAGAAGGGCAAGGCTGAATTATATAACTTTATGCTCAGTGACCCAACAAATGAAGAACTGATGTCAGTGACTCAACAAAGGAGTCTTTATACTAAATGGGCAACACCAGTTCTCTCACCTCTGTCCACCATTGCAATGCACCTGCCCTGTGGGACATACAGGCTTCCCTGGCCCTGTTTTATTGCTCTGGAGTCGCTAGAGAAACTGTTTGATCAAGAATGTATGGCGCACCCTAAGGAATGTAAGCATTTGGTGAACAGGACACTTTCAACATTATCTCTTGCTTGAAAATGCTAGCCAGTGGAAAGAGCAAATGAGACTTTAGTAGTCTCTTCCCCACACTGGAAGGAGGAATAGCCTTGCAAATAGATTTTAACCAATAAGCAGTCTTCCATTTTTTCCAAGTAGCATGACCTCTCCAAATAAAATGAGTCAAATTTCCATGCCATTAAATCCACTGGGGAGTATTGTTACTTTTTATTATTTATGTATTTATTTAATTTTATTTTTTAAAAAAGAAAACAAACTTTTTCATTATACATACCCAATCCAAGTCTCCACTCCCTCCCCTCCTCCCATTCCTTCCATCTACACCCCCCAACCCAGCCCCCTCTATTCCTCAGAGAGGGTAAGGCACTTTGCTTTGGGAAAGGTCAAAGGCCCTCCCCACTAGTATCTAGACTGAGCAAGGTATCCATCCAAAGAGAATAGGATCCCCAAAACCTAGTCCAAACAGTAGGGATAAATCCTGGTGCCACTGCCAGTGACCCACAGTCTGCCCGTGCCACACAACTGTCATCCACATTCAGAGGGACTAGTTTGATCCTATACTGGTTCCTTCCCTGTCCAGTTGGAGTTGGTGATCTCCCATTAGCTCAGGCAAACTGTTTCAATGGGTATCCCATCACGGTCTTGACCTCTTTGCTCATATTCTCACTCCTCCCATTCTTCAACTGGACTTTGGGAGCTTAACCCAGTGCTCTCCTGCGGGTCTCTGCCTCTGTTTCCATCAGTTGCTGGATGAAGGTTCTATGGAAACACTGAAGATATTCATCAATCTGACTACAGGGCAAGGCCAGTTCTGGCACTCTCTCCTCTATTGCTTAGAGTCTTAGCTGGGGTCAACCTTGTAGGAAAATAGGGCTGTGTCTACACTGATACTGCAGATGGGTTCTTACTCTACATGTTTGTTCATCAAGGATCATAATACTTCCACTAGATCCTCAGCTACATTTGGGGATCTTCTCAGGATCATTACTCTGACAGATCTTTAAAGGCTAGTGCGTGAATCTAAATTTTTATTCCCTGCCCTTTGCCCTACCAGCCTGTGCAATGGAGGCACAGGAGGAAGCATCGAAATGTTCCTTGGGAGCATTCTTTCTAAGCTCTTGCTGCAATTTAACACTTGAAATGGACACTTACACATAAAATGTAAGGTGAAAAATGGAACAGCCTCAAGTGTTAACATATAGTTAACTTTGATTGGTGTAGTAGGAAAAATTCTAGAACTTGCATAATAATTTAGAAACAGAAGGATTGGTATAATCCATAAACAAATATGTATGTATTTTTAAATGCTGAATAGGAGAACAGACAAAAATCTCTAATGTGTTAGTGTATCATGGTTTTAGGATTTTGTTAAGTTCTTATTATATAGTATTGGATTTTCTATTTTTTCCTCTCCTAAGCAATACAATTCATTCATTATTCTCTCTAAAAAGACAATTAACCTGTGCAATTAGACATAGAAGCAAAGCCATGCTCTGAAGAGAAAAACAGCATCTCCCTCCTGATCTGAATCTGTGCACTCTTCTCACCGGCCTTGACTTAGCAGCAGCAGCACTATTTGCTAATTATTTCTGCGCTCTAGAAATGCTCTACAGGCTGCAGTTACACAGCAACACTTGTCATCTCAGAAAGCAGCCTCGAACCATTGAAGGGTGGTTCAAGAGCTATTGGCACTATTCATTATTCATTCATCCATTCCTGAAAAGCCTTTTTCATTCAGAGTTGGGAATTTGGAGTTTGTGGTTCAGACAAAGCTGCTAAATAAAGAGACAGAAAAAAAGGGAAAATCTAGCTGTTAAAAAAGTTTAGACAGTCAATGAATGTTGGCTCCCAAAGTAATGCTTTTTAAAAATAGTTCACACTATATTTCTTAGACAAGAAATGATAAAATGATCCAGTAAGTAGCAAAAGACTGAAATAATTGTAAGCAAAGTTAATAAATTGATGAGCAATTCTCAGGTCACAGTTTTTTTTTTAACACTTCGGCCTTTTTCAGTTACATGAAATTGTCAGAGTCATCTGGACACTTTCTAATAAATGCAAAAGTCCAGACAAATGAGGAAGAATTGCATCTTCCAAAACATACTTGAACCTGATGGATTCACAAGGTGATTTTTCCTCCAGGCTTCTGAAGAATATATGATATGAATTATTCTTGATTACTGAAAAGTAAAGTATATTTTAAAAAGTATTCTCAGAGGGGAAATATACTAAGAATAGCACAGATAAAAGATGGTACAAAAAGATTAAACTAAAAGGTAGAGATGCTATTTAAAAAGAAAAACTGAGAGTTATGACCAAAACATAACAGATAAAATGCAGATGCTTACTAAAAAAATGTTTGATTGCTTATTTAATACCCCAGAAGGCATTTAATAAAGCCTAGTTCCATAAATGGCTAGCATCATCTGAGAGTAGTGACCATGTCCCTTTCTGCATGGTTTTGTTTTGGACTGGGGTCTCCTTTTGTAAGCCCTGCTGGACTGGAATGCTAGATCCTTCTGCCCCAACCTTCTATGTGCTGTGGCTGCAGGTATATGCTACCACCCCAGCTTTGAACAGTGTCTTTAAAGGATAGAGCCTGTATACTGAAGAACCTAATTGTTTATCTTGGAAAACATTTCCTGTAAAAGCTGGATCAAAGCAAGAATGCTTTTACCCATTTGTAAGTCTAGTGACTGAGAAATTTCTGTTTTGACAACAATGTCTGAAAATTAACCATTAACAAATGTTAGAATGGAAAAAACAGTTGAAGATGAAGAAATTTTTCATTAGGATTTTAATTCATAGTAGTTTAGGTAGGCCCAAATCAAAGTTGAGAGGAACATACTGAGATTTTGTATCTATCCCTGCCCCACAACGTGTCACCTCCCTGACTTACTGACATCTTGAACCTCTGTCATACATTACTGTAATTGGTCATGAAAATGCAGAAAAATTAGCATAAAACTTTGTGTTTTGCTATATTTAATCTTATTACATGAATGAAAAATTTAAATATTTAAAGAAAGCTCAAAGGTCTGGAATTTTGACCTGCAAGATGGGTCAGTGTATAAAAGCACAATGCTGATAACCTGAGTTCAGTCCCTAGAACATGTAAAGATGGAAGGAGAAAACCAGCTCCACAAAGTTGTTCTCTGAACTTCAACAGTGCCTTATGGCATGTACGCACAGATACATTAATAATAAAATAATAAGAAACTTTTACATTTTTAAAGAAAAATCTGCAAGTAACTGATTTTAACTTAACTAATGTGGTCTTGATTTTTTTTTACTAAAAATATTACTAAGAGAAGATGAGGCAGAAAATTTAACTG